AGCACTTGCTTGGTTTACTTAGTAAAATTTTGAAGAAATTTGGTTTTGTTGTAAAAAATTTTGGGAAAATTTGGTACCGGCTACACAAAGTTAATTTTTTAGTTTTCTGAAATAGTCCGATAGGACCAATAGAAAAAAAATCTAACTGCTAACCTTAAATTTCTGATTTAGTGTTTTGCATAGTCTTAAATACAATATATAACTATTAATTTATCACAGATTATAGCTGTTTTCATTTGAACTGGAATATCTGATTAAAATTTTGACTATCTAATTCGATAAGTTTTGATTTCAGCATAATTATATCAAAATCAATAACTTATCGAATCAGAGTCAAAATTTTAATCAAGTATCTTAGTTAGAATAAAAACAGCTATAAAAAAAAAAAATTCAACTAACCAACTAGGAATTTTGAAACTCATAATACAAAACCAAAATTAACTTTGTGTAGCCTAATAATAATTTCAAATATGACAATGTGTTGCTTTTTTTGAGTAAAATTTTTTTTTAAAAAAAAAAGTTTAAAACTATTTAAAGAAAATACTTGCTGATAAGACCATATTGAACAGAAACTTTTGCCTTTAGTTCACTGTGATAAGACTCTAGAGGTTTAGTTGAAGTGATCTGAAGAAGAAATGGTGAATTCTGCTGAGCTCAGAGAGACTATTGTCTCGAATTTTTTTGATAGTTTCTGGTGATATACTTGGCATTAGACTGAACAGGACAGGTATTTATAGTATCGTGAACAATTTTCTCATATCCAACTTGTGTTTTTTTGTATATCGCGTAGATTATTTTATTAAGTGTCAGACTATAATAAATATTTTTTATCCATGTTCGTACAATATGTACAGTACAAAGGAGAACATCATATTCTTGCTCTCCTATAAATCAAAGTAATTCAAAAAAATAAAATAAAAATAAAAAACTAAAATAAGAATAAAAAAAAGTAAAATAAAAATAAAATAAAAATAAAATAAAAATAAAAAATACAAATTCATTCTATCTCTACTTACAAAAAGACCTGGGAATGCTAATGCAATACTATTAGATTCTACATTACTTTGGTCAAGAAGTATATACTATAAACTCTATTGTAGTGCAAATTTTTTTCAAATAATTCTTAATGCCTATGCAACAGCCTCACTATTTTTTCTATTAACAAAGAAGTGAGCACCAATATTCCAACAGCTATAGCTATCATGAATATATAAAGTAAATAAATACCATCTGTACTTATTAGTATTATATATAGAATCCATTAGCATTAACCTACTGTAACGTGTTAGATTTTCTATTTGCCACAGATTTGCAAAGCATAAACCTTGCAAATACCCAAGTGACTCTTTTTTTTGAAAAGACTCAACTTGATAATTATTTTTTATTAAAAATTCGATTGTAATTAAAATATCAGATTTTAAATCTGCAACTCCAACAAGATGCGAATTCATCAGACCAACAAGCTTCTGCTTAATATTAGCAACCTCCTTAGTTTTTAAATATTCTATATCCGAGTCTTCATACACTTTATAGACTTCTTTCCTAATTATATTCGTAATTGTCAGAAATTATAATCTTTAATTGCCTTGTTACTCACCATATCTTTAATGAATTTTAACCATTTTTGCATATCACTTTCTTCCATCAAATGGCTGTGATTAGGAGTACTATTTACCTATAAACATTTTTTTTTGTTTATTTGTTAAAATACTATGTTACAATGTTTTAAATAAAGTTATCCTTATTCTTACTCTCTCAATTCTAATCATATTCAATGCTACTAACTATGTTAATCTAATTCTTGCTTCACAGTTAATAACAGGTTTTTTCCAGATTATACAAAGCTTTTTAGAAGGGAGATTTTCTTTTCTTCCACTTGATTCTTTAGGTTTTAAAAGTCTACAAATGAAAGTTTTACGTTCGTTACTATTATCCAATATATAACTATTGAATCTTGTCTAAAAGTTATCAACAAGTACTTACTATTTGTTAAAATCCTCAGTAGAAAGTTCAAAAGTTTCATTCACATTAAAAAAATATTCTCAGATAGTTGACATTTGCTATAGTATAACCACACTGTTATAATTGTCATTTTTTTTTTTTTTTTATTATCATATTATTATTATTTTTTTTATAATTAGTTATTTTTAAAAAACTATTTGTTCGCTTGCTGTTTGCTATAGAGTTTTTATTCAATCTGAAGCTTCTTGTTTGCTTGCCATTTGCCATAAGTTTTTTATTCAACGTGAAGCTTCCTTCTCGTTTGCTTGCTGTTTGCTGTCAGATCAATTGCTGTTTGCTATGGAGTCACTTGCTATTTGCTATAAGATCACTTGCTGTTTGCCGTAGAGTTACTTACTATTTGCCGTAGGTTTTCGTTATAACTGAAAGTGGCTCATTTACTGTTTGTCACAAGTTTTTTTTTGTCTAAAGCTTATTTCAAAATACTAGTTTACTGTGAGTTTTTTTTTAAAAGTAGTATTCTTACATAAAACTTCTATAATTATTTAGCATAAAGATTCTTTTTTTAAATTATATCATTACATGATTCTATTGGCTGTTATATATTAATTATTAGCTAGTGTCAATTGATCTGTATGACCCCCAGACTGTCAATTTAATAGTTACTCTACTTTAGCAAACCCCTATTTTAAGTAGTCCACTGCATAGGAGTTAGACTATCTAATTAGTTCTACACTATACTGCTATACTTGTAACCTACCTATTAGTTACCTATTTAAATACTCTGTTTATTAACCTATACAGATCTAATCTAACATTATCATAATATCTAACTGCTTAAGCTAGCTAGCTCATTATGAATCTATTTATCCAAATAGCTTAGGTCCTCTTGAGATACATTGTACTAGACGCATTGCTAGTACTACAAAGCTAGTTAACCTTGAAGCAAATCTACTAGAGTAGTTCGTACTCATTTTATGAATTCACCTAGCTTAGACCCTTGTAGATGTTCATACAACCTCAAGTTCTACTGTAGTCCTCCACTAGTTAGTAGACCTAGTTCTTTTCCAGTATCTAGCTGGTCCCAGTTACCCTTCACCCAGAGACCTTAAAACCTTCTAACTTTATTAGACTAAGTTTTCTCTCAGATCAGACTTTAGCTGATATAGTCCTGTTGGAAGGCTGTACTACTTTACCAACTTGGGATTTCTATCATGCAGGTCTCCTGCTCATATATCCTATCAAGATTTATTCATATAATATTATGCTATACTTCCAAGTTCTGATCAATTTAGTACAACTTAATTTATAGAGGTACATATCCAAAAATTAACAGAGTTTACCATAACATATCACAAGGTCTGAGAAATTATTCAAATTCGTCAACAGTGAGATTTGAACTCCAGACCTATTGCATGGCTATCTGACAACCTAACTACTATACTAGGTTACTGGACATACTTTTGTTAAATTATATAACATGCTAGTAAAGATATTGAGTAGAAAATGCTAAATTATATCAGGTTATTCTGATCAAATTTAAGAGAATACTGAGATTATTTTTGGTACAAATATTGAAATACAAACTATACTTGAAAAGGTTGTAAAGTTGTAATTTATTCTGATTATGATATGAGAAAAAAGAATGGTAAATTTGTAACTTGCTAATCATTACATACAATACAAATTCAATATAAAGGTAGAATAGTCATACAAACAATAGTTTATATATAAGAATATATCAGATTTATATTGATATCTTTTAATTCTACTATTAGTTTTATGTATAATTATCTGAATTTATATAAATACTTTTGAGAATAAAAAATTATTATATTATAGCATTGAGAAACTAATTAATTCAAAAGTACTTTTTTGTTATAATAAATTATTATTAGAAATTATAGATATTGAGTTAGTGATAAGCAAATTACAGTTTTCTAAAATATTTTATATAGAATATAGATTATATATATGATTTATATATGATGTATGAGATAGAATAATATTGTAAGTTTCTTAAAATTATGTTAATGCAAGCTAGCTATCTGAATTAAGAATCATATTAAAAATCCTGTGTAGTATTTAAAAAATCACATACATTGTTACAAGTGTCAGCCTTCTTAATTCAACACAAGTAACATAAGACACAGAAGAGGGCTCTCAACGGTATCCAAGTGGAATATTACTTCACTGTAGTAGTTCGTTACAAAGTTAATGAAAGAGCAAAGATTATACTTTATTTAGAATACAATAT